AGGAAAATAGAAATAGGAATGGGGAGAAGGGGGGAAAGAGTAGGAGGGTACTGGGCAGGTGTGAGGTGCAGCTTTGGACTTCCAACATGTAGCAGCTCTCTTTAAAAAATAATCAATTAATTAAGGTACGGAGATAGAGGATAGGAGAATGGAGGATAGTGAGAAAGAAGTAAGAAAAGCATAGGAGGAAGGGAGAGCATGTCTAACAGTATTTCCAACACATCTTAGGGGTTCCAAGAGATTGTTGGAGAAGAGAGAAGGTATTAGGATGGAGCTATGGTATTTGCTTTTTTTTTGTTAGTACAGAAGTCTTTACAAGGGAAGGAAAAGCATGCAAGCAAGAGGAAGCATAGGACAACTTTGTTTGATTTCTTCAGATTTGCTTTTATTGCTTGAAATCAGGTTTTTGAAAAGTAAATTTGAATAAGTAGTAGAACCAGTAGAACAGCGGTAGCAATGGCTCTGGCAATGGAGAACAAACAGGAATCATAGCAATGGGCCAATCGGAAACCAGCTGAGTGATGGGCTGTGAAACAAAACAACGCCAAGCTTATTTACAGAATAGGATTGCTAAACTCACAGAAAAGATTTTCTCTTCAAGTTTCTCTTTCCCCCACCTCCTTACTATTATATACTCTGCTAACTAATGGTAAACATAGGAGAATATATTTACCATGAACGATACCAACAAACCACAGTCTCCCACCCTCCAGGTAAGTCCTCTATTTCACAGACAAACATACAAACTAACAAAGGAAAAAGACAAACTCATGTCCCCCCCCCATACAGGTACATCCCCCACACAGAAGCAAACATGAAAAGCTAATAAGAATAGAAAGACAAACTTGCGCTTCCACTGTATACTATTCCATGCTGCTCTTCCACCACACCTTTCATGTACTCTTTCTGTGGTCCTCTACTACGTACTCTCCCATGCTTTTCTGTGGTCCTCTACTGCACGCTCTCCCACGCTTTCCTGTATTCTTTCCATGGTCCTCCACTGTCCTCCTTCCCACAGCCCTCTACCATACTCTCCCATGCTCCAGTGCTCCACCGCTGTTCTCCTATGCTCCTGGGCTCTACCACCATTGCCCCATACTCCAGTACCCTGCTGTGTGCTTTACTGCAATTCTCTTGTGCACTGCCATGGGCTATCCCTAGCACTCTCCACTGCTTACCTGAAAGGCAAAGAATAAAGCAAACAGGGCAATAAGGGAAGCAGGGGGGATAGGAAATGAAGAAGGAGAGGGAAAGGGAATGAGGAGGACAGAGAGAAGGGGAAGGAGAAAGGGAAGGTACTGGGAAGGTGTGGGGAGCAGCTTGAACTTCCAACAGAATAAGCGTTTTCTGAAAAGTACTTTGACATAGAAAAAGTCCTTGAATGATAGAGTATGTGAAAGTTTAGATCCTTGTAGAAGAAATATAGAAGAGCTTAGTGGAGGCTATAGATAGTATGAGTTTGTTATTCCTTTATTAGCTTGTACTTGTCAGTATGTACAGGACTTACCTGGGAGAGGGGCAGGGAACTTGATTTACAGTTTATTGTTCTAGGCTATAATATTATAGTTGCAATTTATACTTCTGTCTTTTCTGTCAGTAGATATTAGTCAGAAGAGTACACAATAGTTAGCGGGAAAGTGTGCATACTAGTATGAGTGTAAGAGAAAGAGAAAGAGAAAGAGAAAAGTTTTTTTCCAACTAAGTTGTGCAATCTTATTATATGAGTAAGCTTGGAATTGTTTCGCTTCACAGCCTATCACTTACTTAGTTTTGATTGACCTGGTGCCATGGATCCCTGTTTGTTTACTGTTTGCTTTGCTGTTGTACTATTTGTTCAAAAGTTCTCATACTGTTTGGACTTAGGAAGAAGAGAAATGAGTCATCAAGAAGTATATGTTTATAGTTTGTTATACTGAAATCCTGCTGTTTAGAAGCTACACTTAAACCAGCTCCTACAAATAATTTTCTTTTCCAATCTGCAAAGCCTCTCTGCCTAGTCCTTAGAGCTTTCAAACCTGTATAAAAAGTTCTGATATACCACTTTTAAAGACTGCCTCCTCACTAACCAGAATGCAAATCTCCAAGTAAAAAGATTAATTACAAATAGAAGATAATAGTGTATAGGAGGAAAGCAAAAGGGAAAAATATACTATGTAGATTATATTCATTCTTGATTATCAGCTTGATCTACTATCTCTAGTATAGAGATTAAGATATAATCTCCAGAAGTCTGTCAAGTGCTTCGCTTCCCCTGCTTTGAAACCCTGGCAATATCATGTTCAAGTTCTTTCATTTCCATTACTCTCTTCTTTAGAATTTGAAAAGAAAAAACAAATTAAGGTACTCTTCTATCACCAAACAGAAATTCCCTACTAGAAGTCAATTTTCTAACACCTTCACCAAGCCCCTAGGTGCTTGGGAACCCAGGGGATTTCCGAGAGTGAGCGAGGTGGAATAGATATCCAATATCCACCTATGTGCTATCATAATTATTACACTGGATCATACAATTCTAAATAATATATGCAATCATTCTATTTGTTATTGATCAGTATGTAGAGGTCTTCTAGCTTGTCATAATAAAAAAAAAAATTCCAATCCCATTTGTGCAGGTAAATTTCACAATCACTGTCCTTGAAACCTTTACCTTCAAGGAAACCTGATGGGGAAAATAAAGTTTCCAAAGAGATGTTTTAGGTTGGCAATTTTAGCTATGCACCCCGGTTTAATTCCATATGAGTGATGGAAGCAGGCGAGCCAGCAGACCCTCGAGACCTTCCTTCTGTGCACCTTCCGGCTCCAGTTCTTTATTGGCCGAATTATGCATTCTGGTGAAACCCGTGGGTCCGGTGGCATGTAGATTTGTTGGGTGGAGCTAGTATGGTACTCCATCCACTGCAACTCTTCTACAACAAGTGGTAAATCATCATGAGAGGATTCCTATGGGTATAGGCGTGGAGGGTGGTTGAAGAATTGGGGATAGCAGCCCAAGTGAGCTACTGTGAATGGCGGCTTGGGTGGGCACCCCATTGCAAGTTGCATCGGATCGCTTGTGGTGCTATTCCCCTATGAGACTCTTCCGTGTCTACTCTCCGAGTAATGAGATATGTTCTACTCCCAGACACCCGCTTTGTGTCTGTCGGGTATGATACCCTGGACACTGCCGAAATAATGAACATTGAGGCGATTACACGATACACTCTCAATCTGGCGGAGGTATTTGTGGGATGGAAAACTTCAGCACTGCGCACGCAATCGTGAGCCCAATGTGGAGTCGACCGCAATCGGTACAATTCTGGGACACTTGGTCAGCCAATCCCCGCAACAATGTAAGTCTGAGTCTTTAGTATGGCAGATTCAATACCGTCGTGATTATAATCCATCCCTCTTTGTGTCTATGCTTGTTTGCTCAAATGTTCATCGACGATTTAGGACAATCTTGTCCCGGGGGCATGTCCTTGAAACACTAAGCCAAAAGTTTTGTCTAGACACTTGATTTAACACCAAATTTTGCGAAAAATAGGTGACGACTCCAATGTTTAAGTTACCTAGTTAAAACAAAAAATTTGAATTCTGTCGTTGGATAGCAAATCATGCGAGTATGGTATACAAGTAATTTCGTGAACTGGTGTAAGAGTGACCCCAGGGATTGTATGCGGCTCAATACGGTATAGTGGAAAAGGGGATGATACATGGCAACCCAACACCCCCCACTCAACCCATATATCCTCCACGGCTTCATAATTTTTCTGAACCCCGCGATCCTTTTCACACCACACTACCTACCTTATGATACGGGATGGGTAATGCACAGTGCCGGCATTCCAAACAGGAATTCGCATTCTCAGAATGGGCGCCTCCTGAAAAATTTAAATCTTGTGCCATGCGCGAGTACCGTACCGGTACATGTACTTCAGGCCACCACCTCGCAATGCAGACCGACACGCACGGCAGACTGCTGCCAGAAACAACCAACCACAAGCCAAGCTCCGCAGATCCACATGCCGAAAAGCTTAACCGTTAAAAAAATACATTGGCAGCGCTCTCGGAAACCCACATACGGTAAGCGGCCCACCCACGCGGCCCACCCACGCGGACATGCCAAGACCAAACAGTAATCCCCGCACCGTTATTCATGTGGTCGCTTTAATGCTCGTGATTTGCCGGTTGGGGCTCGAACGAGCACGCGACAGGGCTGTTTGAGTACCGCTTGTAAACTCGCGATTCCACTACTTCTTCGATTCGCGGGCGAGGGCGAGGGATTACTGGGTGCCGTATGGAGCGGGAGTGAGGGGCGGATGCGGTAGAGGGAATGCCGGTACCGGTATAATATGATGTACCGGTACTCGTATGTAAAGGGTGGGAAGGACAAGCCGAAAGGGTCCGGTTAGGTTTCCCAGATTCCGTACCCTAGCGTCCTCGCATGATACTCGCCGCGTTCGCTTAAGTCTCCACGGGTTCTAGCAGGCTAGTTTTGGGGTGAAGCTTAGCAGGCGAGCGAGTGTTGAGTTAAGTTAGTGTGGACACGAGATCAGGGAAACAAGGACATCGGAAAGGGTTTTTTTTTTCGCGCGGGACAGGGATTAGGACGGGTTAACCTGGATTAACTGTTTACATCTTTATCCGGGGTATTTGAACTGTAAGAAGTGATTGAGATGCGCTGTCACCGCTAGGGCTGAAAGCTCCCCATTCAGGGATAAAAGGTGTTGAGGGGATAAGCGCTTCCCTGACGGGATAGCATCAGCCCACTGAAGGTGCTGGTATTCACCAACCGGTTTTCGCGGTTCTGTTAACCTGTCAGTTTGAACATCCCCTGGGCCGATGACGCACGGTTCCCCCCGATAGCCTGATAGTGACTTTCAAGCCATTTACGCGTAGTGCTCCGAGTGGCGAGGGAAAAAGTGCTAGACCATCATACGGGGGGATTGGACGCAATTATAATTCAAAATGGGAAGAGAAGACCGGTATCGTAGGGAGGGGAAGGGAGAAGGAAAGAGACAGAAGTTTGAAAAACAGTACGATGCGGCGCACAATTCTTTATGAAAGCCCCGCATCCCGTTTATTTATTCAGCCAGACTCCTCCGATATTCGGGTACAGTAGAAATCGTAACTATCCACCTATTAATACATCCTGGCACTGGCACCGGAATTATCATACGACCATCCGCCCACCCATCAATCAATCGATCGATCCATGCTCTGGTGTCGACGGGGTTTAAAAAAAAGCAAGTCTGATACATCCACCCATACCCGCGCACCTAAGAGCATCAAGTAATCCAGAAAAACACCCCCGCTTGTTGTCGGATTCAAACAGACGCCGCACGCTCACTTCTGAGATCTTGCCCTCCTCGCTGCGAGCTTCTTGTGAATGAACAGGCTTCCGAGTAAAATTGCCAGGGCGCCGATGATGCAGAAGACGACGATTACCCCGCGTTCCTTGCTCGCCCAGTTTTCGCGCTTGTAGAGGTGGGACTGTAGTGCGGGCATGCTGAAATTCTGGTCGCAATGTTAGGAGAGCGATAAAAGCTAACGGTAGGAGCAAGAGGGGGGCGGTATGGTACCCTGAAGTAGAAGAATTGGGGCAAGAAGAGCAGAGACGTAATTGGAACTGCAATGAACCACTTTAACCTCTGAAAATTGTAAGCATTTCTTCCCTCGGTTCGATGGGTGGGATCTTCGCAACTCACCTCTGAGAGTACTATCCAAAGCGAACTTGAAGAAGGGGGAGAGAAAGTGGGCAGACAACCACCAACTTAAGTATCCCTGAGGCATTTCTTTTTCCCCAGTGGAGCGAGTTCCCGATTGCACGCAGAGCATTAAATGCCGATATATCCGGGGGAGCTGCGGGGCCCAACTGGGATAAAATGACGTTACGTATAAGCTTTCGGATGGTCTTGGCAAATGCGGTATTTGAAGAAGGTTTCCCTTGTTCAAACAAGGACCCTGTGATAGTAACCAGGGCACTGTGCAGTGCCTGGCTGAATGGGGAAGAGTGTTTGGGGTTTTCCTGGGAATCGCGCGCATGTTGGATGGGGAAAGAGAAAAAGCCAGGGTTCTTTGTTTTTTTGTGCCGCCCTGTTGAGGCTGCTGTACGAGTATCTCCGGATCTGGTGCATTGCTGTGGATATCGACATCTCGACTCACGCCCACCGGAGAGGGGCGCGCTCCTCCAATACCGGTAGTCTATGGATGGAAGAAAATATTTAGCTCATCTGCTTATCCACTGTAAGGCGGGCTCGTGAGAACTTGGCCGAGTGACGGTGGTTGAGCCCTCAAATAGTTAACCATGTAATTCCTCCTTCCCATGGTTCCTGATTGCCCGACTGCGGTGTGTCTTCCCCGTAGTGTCACTTGCGATAAGTACCGGTACCGGAATTTTCTTGCTGCCGTTTGTACGATATCGACCCAAATACCTTGCCGTCGCTTTAGTGTCGCGAGGGACTACTATCCTCACTTCTCACAGTGCGACTAGCGCGCTCCTTCTCTCCAGTGCCAGTCTTGTTGTTTGAACTGGGCGTGTCCCGCTATTCCGGTAGAATACCCGAACCGGAATCGGGACAAGAGATATTGGGCTGCAGTAAACCGCTCCAGCCACTAATCTCGGCGCCAGTTCAACACCAACACATGTTGAAGTAAGTAAAGAGTTGTAGACATCAGTTCACGGGAGAGTACTCTGAGTATGATGAGATCTCAGGGTATTCCGGGGGAACAGGATGGCCATTGGTGACCGCTGTCGAGCCTTTGGACCGATTTAGGGAAGTGCCGGGAGCTCGCTGGTGGGCCCAGCAAGCGTTCAATGGTTGGGCTGTGGGCTTATTAAACTCCAGTGCGACTGCAGGGCATGGAGCGCTTTTTTCTCGTTCTGAAATACGGATACAGTCGCGCCTCGCTTTAATGGATCTCTTCATCCGAGAGGCCTCGCTGTTACGGACGAATCCTCTGGCAATTCACCCCTCCGCTCCCATAAATGGTTCTTGCTATAAATTAAGGGATTTCTTCTCAATCCTCTCTATAGCGGATGAAAAACCGGAAACTCTTGGCGTTCGTTATAGCGAGGTGCGACAGTATTTTCCATCAAGATTTCGGGGTGTTGTGATGTTCTAATTGCGCGTTTTCCGGTGTTGATGTCGGCGGTTGATCGGATATTTATTCGGTACAACCCCGAGGGCTTTTCCACCAATATTGTTTATCAACGTGTCTGTGACTGATGGAATAGCGGGTTTATGTTGGCCTTTCAAAGTAGGGCGAAATTTCGAGCGTCATTTGTATGGCCTTCGAGTGTTCCGATAAACAGGTACCTCCTCGGATCATCTCCCGTGGAGGGCTTCGACAGGAATTGGAGAGGATTGCGTTGAGTTGCCTCCCACTCTGAAGGGACCAAGGAAGCTTCATCGCACGGGGTGGGCGATTCGATGTTCAGGTGGTCGCGGAGGACCCCTGGGGTTGAATCGAAAGTTAGGAGACAATTAACTCCGCTACCCTCCCGCAACAAGACAACCTAGGACGTGCATACAGCGTTGAGGTTGAGTTGAAGTAGACGAAGCGAGGTATCCATAAATATGAGGGGGTAGACGGGGGGGAATGTTTTATATACTGCTCATCGGCTAGCATACTCGCCCACGTTCAAGCCAGCTCCAAGTGAAAGACCTGCTCCGCGGCCTTCCGGTTTTGGGGGCCTGTAATATCTGCCGTTAGTGGTCTGGGGAACGTGATCCTATTTGTCATCCTGATATGGCAATTGAGATTTATCACCGGCTGGGGGGGGGGGGGCAATTGGGCTGGAGGTTTCCTCCCGGCCATCCATTCTCGGGAATTCTGCTGGGCGATGGAAATGGAAAACTCCTGGGAAAAATGTGCCTCTCACGGATTGTCGTGTCGAAGGACTACGCGGAGCAGGTTGGTTGGGAAATAGCTTCCTGACAAACGTTGTCGTCACTTGCCCATCTACTCGGGTACAGCAGAAGTGTCTATTTTCGCGGCAACGTGATAACGCCATGACCGCCTCAATTGATCATATAAATTACCACCCCGAGGTACTGTATCTGGTACTGGTGCAGACTGCTCGTAGATTTCAGCTTTAGTACCAGTATAGTAGGCTCGTGATCGTAGGCGTTCCCAAATTGAGTAGGATTGTCTCTTTTGATATGGGCAATGATACGTTTCCGTGGCTTGGCAGGAACGTTACAACACCTTCAACCCTCCCTGCCTGTGAGAGGACCAATTCACTGCCGGTATTAACCGCAACCGGGGAGAGCTGCGAAAAATCGCCGAGTTTCGGGCTACCATACCCATCGGCGTATTTTTGGCAATAATTGATGTTGAGTGGAGGACTTCCCGCGGGAATTTAGGGGAATCTGGAGTTTGGGCTGGAGAGCTAGGTCGCAGACCATTCCTATAGTGGAAACGGCTTTATAGACTGCTAGAATATGATCATTGCAGTAAGATGAAACCACACATATGAAGCATAATGGTTACAACCAGGAAATGATCTCTCATAGGATTGTGCCCCACAGCGGCTTGTCAATTCTCCATTTTGTGTATTGAGAAATAATGCCCAAGTTGTGGAGAATTGCGGTCTTGTGATATTTTGACCAAAGATGTACAAGTTTCTAGATTTCCTAACCTTTCAAATCTGAACCAGGGGGGGAGGGGGTGGTTCGGGTTTTAGAAAAATTAGAATTTAGAAGCTGATTTTCCAGATCTTAGCGTGAAATCATGCCAGACCCTTTCTGGATGCCTTCCGGGTTCCTGCGGGAAGTCCTCCCGCTATTGTTGAGATGCGGGTTGAGGTTGGGCCAAATTTCCTTCATTTTATTGTACTATCACTTGTATTATTTAACTCGACCCGTGATGACATGCCCTAGGGGCTGCTCGTATATTGAGGAAGCCTGTTTCGTGCGGGCCAACATAGGGCCCTCCATGTGCTCTACGATGCCTGCAACATTTTTTATATTATCATACGAGTGGCCATGCTGCCTACTGCTTTGGGTAGGAGAGGACTTCGATGAAACTATAATCTTTATTTTTGCGTTCGACCTAACCTTGTTTAAGGATCGGAAGACACACTGTTTTCAGAAATATTCAGTATTTCTATTTAGTGGCTTGTCAAATGGGGCCCAGCCATGCCGAATTCCCGCATGGTATAAAATTTCTACCATATATTGTGGGGAAGTTTACACCATAAAACTCTTTCTATTGTGCATGATGTTATACTAGCGGAACTCGATTCCCCGCACACTTCATCCTGAGTTCCAATTCAGGAATCAGTAATAAGGGCAACGATACTTTCGCAAATACACAAATAGACCCCGCGAGAGGGATATACAAGAAGAATGGAAAAAGTGGAGAGAAAAATGGACTGCAATTGTGCGGATAGCATACGCTGCTCAGACTTGGTTGGTGCTTTTTTTCTTTCTTTGGACAATGCCGGGGTTGGAATCGCGCCACGATTCATTTGGATCGGAATGAATCATCTCTCACGAAAATTACACTTCTGTGCGGTATAGCTCAAGTCTTTGGAGGGTTGAAATTAAGTAAATAGGTAGGTTAGGAAAACCCCCTTGGATCCGGCTCGTTTCTTTTGAAATTTTAGGGTTTTTTTTCGAGATTTCCTACCGTTGAGTTTTCTGGCATAGAGGTGCGAGTATTGCTCTCTTTGTGGGCGAAGCGCTGAGTTGCGCTGGTATACATATATATATAAAAGGTTGCTGGTATCCTACGGGGGGGAGGGGGCACGGTGGTCGTGGAGTTGATTTCCACCTCGCATATCGCCATACTCTCGATTTATTTACCTGGGCCGCTGTTTCAAGCAGGCCCAGGGTGCACTCGATGCCTTCACGGGCGCGCTGCGAGTTCCTATATCTCTTTGCTGAGGGAGAGGAAAGTAGGGGAAATAAGCAGGGGAAAGATATATGATGTTATTTTACGAATGCCTGAGCTACTTGCGCACTCGTTTGTAGACCTTCTGTTACCGGGGTTTAGGGTTATCGAGGGCCCTTTCTTGACTAACTCCTCGATATGGAGAAGTGAAGAAGGAAGAAAAGAAGGAAGAAAAGTAAGGAGAGAAGCCTGGATAGAAATGGCTAATTCATCCGTATGCGATACCCCCTGACTAGTTGCCTCCTACCTCCTCTTTAAGGGCGAATTTTGTGGTTTGACGATTTTGAAAACAGCAGATAGTTTATCGGATCAAGTGGCAAGGGGGAGCGAACCCGCTTTATAACCCCCAATCGTCTTAATGATGGACACAATAGAGGTGCTTGCATTTCGCTCGATAACCATAACCTACATCCCTAGATGCGGACGTTTTAGGGGGTGCTCAAATCAGCAATGTCAGATCATGTGATGTCACTCGATTGGGTTTGTTTAATGGATGGTTTCTCCCAAATAATGTTTTAGTTGGGGCACCACTATTGATCTTAGTTAGGCCAAGGCCTCGTTCTGGGGGTATCGTAGGATATGCCAATCCTGTCGGGTGTGAACTTAGGATATTTCTGGCGGATGCGCTGCACATCAAATTTCCAGGATCCAGGCTGCGAGGCCCCGTCTCTCACCCGCCCGATTCGGACTTGAAATCCGGATTTTTGTCCCAGGTCTGTACCTTCGAGGTTAGGTCCGCTCTTAATACTAAAGGAAACCTTTTCGCAGACTTGTAATAATATCAGGACATTTGTTCTCCCAATTACACCTTGTATCTTATACGCAGGGGGTAAAAGTTAAGGGAGAGCCCACATCCAAATACGGGGGTGTTTGGTAGGCGCATGATCCAAACTCTGGATTTTTAGGTCTTTTAGACCTTATCTACAAGCCTGGACTTAAACTCAAAATTCTGGCCCGGGGAGGGCTCTCGGAACGGGACTTGGGTGCTTTTGGAGGACCCGTGAAACCTGGGTTATGACATGGCGAAAGGAGCACAGAAAGAAATGAGGGCTGTAGCAAGAGAAGGCACGGAGGGGGTGGCTGCTGCCCACTGAAATCTGTGTGTTTATAGTTTCTACGGGGATTAAAGTGCAAATATGATATTGCTGAAGTTGAGGGAATTGGTGGTGAAGGGTAGCGGGTTATAGTTGATTGTGGAGCTTTCGGAAATGCAGGAGGTGGGTTGCTGTGCTCAGCGGTTGTCATGATTTACGGAGAGGTTTCTCCATGCATGTACTTTTATATGCAGTAAAATAGGGGGCTATAACTCTTTCATCCTGCCCGCACTTTAGAAGATGGTCCCTGATCCTATGAATGAGTGCTGTATTGCTTGTTGTTAGATAGGAAAACCGGGGGAGTAGCCTCGTGATAGGGGAGATTCATATTTGGGGGTGGAGATAAATTGGGCGTGGAACGTGATTGTTGGAGGGAGAGCTGTCGATATAACCGAGGTTATTTAGTGGAAATTCCGGTGCTTTTGCTCTAGTATATCATGCCATGAATCTTGGAGGATTAGGGGAATGCGGCTGAGTCTAGGGATTTAGTGTGTATTGCCGGTGAAATCGCGATGCTGTAGATTCATAAAATTACGCTATGTAAGGGAGAGAGTAACTTGGGTTCTTCATCATTTCTATTATTCAGGGTATTCCCTATATATGCGCGATCTTGAGATGGTACGTGTAGAAACCCCTCATATCTCCCTGTGTCACGTCCAGCTTCCGCAGTGGTGAAATGCACACCTGGTGTCTAACAGAACTTCTGGATACTTCCCTTAACGTCCTCCTCGGATTCTGGACGCCCGATCCCTCTCGATCACGCCATATCCCCTCAACCCATTACTGCTAAACAGACCTGCTACCTTCTATATCAGTGCCTCTAATAATCATGATGTGACGCTGGCAAGTATCAAGCCCTTCCAAACCTCAAAATTTGACTTTTAATGATTTCCTCAGTTGTCGCCGGTGCCTTCTTAGCCTTCCTCTTCGCCTAACTCCCACCCTAGAAGCACCATTGACTTCTTGGATGTACTAACCCCTACGTCCTCACATAACTCATCACCTTCGCACAAACTCCGCCATATCCAACCTTTGTTCTCTGGTTGGCCAACGGTGCGGCAGTCACAATGTGGAAGTTTTTCGGCTTCCAATATGGATCGATTAGTATATATTTTAGGGACAACGAGATTCCCTGGATTATCGAGTGGTGTCTGTGTGAAACCCTTTCTCGCTTGGATGGTTGATAGCGCTCTGTGACACAAACGAAACCCAGGAGGGGGGAGAATTCCTACCGTAGTAAATATGCTCCGGGGTGCTCACCAAATCTAGTCCGCTCCCTAATTCACCCGGGCTTCCCGACTCGCACCCCCTGGGGGGAATATGGGAAGCAAATAAAAAATTGCCAAACCGTCCGCTAAGCATATAAATTTCGCCATCCATTCAATATCCTGTGACGAACCATAAATCAACTTCCACCACAAAGCCTTCTAGAAATCCTTTTGACCTACAATAGAGGGAGGAGCACGCTCAGGAGAGCAGGAGATATTCCGCACAGGATTTCCCTTTCAGGTTTTGTTTTTGTTGTCCATTCCGGACTTTTTGAATCTGGCAGAATATTTTAGCCAACATTT